TATTTTTTTTTTTTTCATTATTCTCTATGGAATATTCCAGTTTTTTTTTTTTTTTTTTCATTTTCTTTTATTATTCATATGTGCATACAAGGCTTGTTTATTTCTCCCCCTGCCCCACCCCTCCCTTACCACCCACTCCACCCCCTCCCGCTCCCCCTCAATACCCAGCAGAAACTATTTTGCCCTTATCTCTAATTTTGTTGTAGAGAGAGTATAAGCAATAATAGGAAGGAACAAGGGGTTTTGCTGGTTGAGATAAGGATAGCTATACAGGGCATTGATTTCCTGTGTGTGGGTGTTACCTTCTAGGTTAATTCTTTTTAATCTAACCTTTTCTCTAGTTCCTGGTCTCCTTTTCCTATTGGCCTCAGTTGCTTTAAGGTATCTGCTTTAGTTTCTCTGCATTAAGGGCAACAAATGCTAGCTAGTTTTTTAGGTGTCTTACCTATCCTCACCCCTTCCTTGTGTGCTCTCGCTTTTATCATGTGCTCATAGTCCAATCCCCTTGTTGTGTTTGCCCTTGATCTAATGTCCACATATGAGGGAGAACATACGATTTTTGGTCTTTTGAGCCAGGCTAACCTCACTCAGAATAATGTTCTCCAATTCCATCCATTTACCAGCAAATGATAACATTTCGTTCTTCTTCATGGCTGCATAAAATTCCATTGTGTATAGATACCACATTTTCTTAATCCATTCGTCAGTGCTGGGGCATCTTGGCTGTTTCCATAACTTGGCTATTGTGAATAGTGCCGCAATAAACATGGATGTGCAGGTGCCTCTGGAGTAACAGTCTTTTGGGTATATCCCCAAGAGTGGTATTGCTGGATCAAATGGTAGATCGATGTCCAGCTTTTTAAGTAGCCTCCAAATTTTTTTCCAGAGTGGTTGTACTAGTCTTACATTCCCACCAACAGTGTAAGAGGGTTCCTTTTTCCCCGCATCCTCGCCAACACCTGTTGTTGGTGGTGTTGCTGATGATGGCTATTCTAACAGGGGTGAGGTGGAATCTTAGTGTGGTTTTAATTTGCATTTCCTTTATTGCTAGAGATGGTGAGCATTTTTTCATGTGTTTTCTGGCCATTTGAATTTCTTCTTTTGAGAAAGTTCTGTTTAGTTCACTTGCCCATTTCTTTATTGGTTCATTAGTTTTGGGAGAATTTAGTTTTTTAAGTTCCCTGTATATTCTGGTTATCAGTCCTTTGTCTGATGTATAGTTGGCAAATATTTTCTCCCACTCTGTGGGTGTTCTCTTCAGTTTAGAGACCATTTCTTTTGATGAACAGAAGCTTTTTAGTTTTATGAGGTCCCATTTATCTATGCTATCTCTTAGTTGCTGTGCTGCTGGGGTTTCATTGAAAAAGTTCTTACCTATACCTACTAACTCCAGAGTATTTCCTACTCTTTCTTGTATCAACTTAAGAGTTTGGGGTCTGATATTAAGATCCTTGATCCATTTTGAGTTAATCTTGGTATAGGGTGATATACATGGATCTAGTTTCAGTTTTTTGCAGACTGCTAACCAGTTTTCCCAGCAGCAGTTTTTGTTGAAGAGGCTGCTATTTCTCCATCGTATATTTTTAGCTCCTTTGTCAAAGATAAGTTGCTTATAGTTGTGTGGCTTCATATCTGGATCCTCTATTCTGTTCCACTGGTCTTCATGTCTGTTTTTGTGCCAGTACCATGCTGTTTTTTATTTATTGCTTTGTAATATAGTTTGAAGTCAGGTATTGTGATACCTCCTGCATTGTTCTTTTGACTGAGTATTGCCTTGGCTATTCGTGGCCTCTTGTGTTTCCATATAAATTTAACAGTAGATTTTTCAATCTCTTTGATGAATGTCATTGGAATTTTGATGGGAATTGCATTAAACATGTAGATTACTTTTGGGAGTATAGACATTTTTACTATGTTGATTCTACCAATCCATGAGCATGGGAGATCTCTCCACTTTCTATAGTCTTCCTCAATCTCTTTCTTCAGAAGTGTATAGTTTTCCTTGTAGAGGTCTTTCACATCTTTTGTTAGGTTTACACCTAGGTCTTAGTCTATTTTGTATTGCTGCAACAAAGTACCTTAGGGTGAGATATTTATAAATAATAGAAGTTTATTCAGCTCACAGTTCGGGAAGCTGGAACGTCCAAGAGCATGGCACTAGCATCTGGTGAGGGTCACAGTGCTGCCTCACCCCATGGCGAAAGGCAGAAGAGCAAGAGGGGGTGAAAACAAGGACAGCAGAGCACTGAACTCACTTTATAACAACCCGCTCTTGCTGTAACAAAGCTAACCATCAATCATGACCTAATCACCTCCTGAAGGTCCCGCCTCTCAAACCTGTTGCACTGGGTGCTGTTTCTGACACAGCAGCTCCCAAGGACACATTTACACCAATGTGGCATCATCTCCTGCCAGGTAGCTACTAGGTACACTGTGGAGGTCAGGTCCCAGCCTACACCGTGCTCTGTCCCCTCAGGCCACATTACTGGACTCACAGGCCAAGGTGACCAAGTGGTTCAATGACTCCGTGGTGGCCCCGGCATTGCCCACCCTGAACAGCACCCTTTTCAGCCTTGCCATCAGGCAGGACGTGGTGAGCGCCGTGGTGGCTGCCATTCTCCCTCCAGAAGAGCTCCTGGTCCTGCTCGACTTTGTGGTGAGCCTCACCAAGGGATAGGGGCAAGGGGGCACACCTGCTGCATCATCTCCCCCAAAAAAGGACCCAGTGAGGCCTGGAATTCCCTGCCTTGCTGTCTTCATCCCTCCAGCCCCTAATGGTCCGTGTCTGACATTCAGCGCAAAAGCTGGACATGTCCCTGGATTGTCCCACTGAGGATCTGGTTCTGCCCTGTGGAATCGAATCTACCTGTTTTTTCTATAAGAGTCCCAGGGAGCCAAAGGGCATCTGAGACCCTGAGTGGACAAGGATGACAGTGATGCTACTGTTGCCACATGACCCACAACAGACATCACTAATTGGCCAGGGTCTTCCTTCCTACTAAGCCAGGTGCCAAGGCAACCTTGGAGTCCCTGCAAGTGCAGCATGGCAGACTGGAGTCTACCACCAGTCATGCCTAACAGCCACCCATCCAGGGCAACTGACAGGGAAACCGAGGTCCAGAGGAGAAGAGTGGCCTGAAGTATGGGAGGGTGGCAGAACCTCAGGTGCCAAGGCCTTGAGATTTGGACTCAGAATCAGGGACTGGGATGGATGGAGGGAAAGGGGGCAGTCAACACAGTCATAGTCACAGCTGCAGGGAGAACTGATGTCACTGCTGAATGTCCTCTGGGTACCCCAGCCCACAGCAGAAGCCCACTGTGGCCCCATGCCACAGTGGCTGACCTAGGGGCTATTTTTCCACAAGTGACAGACACGGCCTGGACCACAAAAAAAAAAAAAGCTGGCCTTCCAGCTTTTGTGGGGTTCTGGAAAGCCTTCATCCCATCAGTGAGATGTAGATGAGCCTTGTGTCCTGTCTGACTGACCTTCTCTGGCTTTTTCTCCCCCTCAGCTTCCAGATCTGGCCCATGAGCTTAAGTCAAGAATCAAGGTGATCAATAAAACGGTGAGTCCATCTGCCACCTGTGATGTGATGGGTGCTGGTGCAGTCTGTCCGTTGGCCTCTGGGGTGGGGAACTGGTGGGGGCTGTTTTACCTTCCACCACTGGGGACATTAACAAACCAGGTACCTGACCGCACGCAGATCTCAGTCAAGCAGAGAGGGTTGAATGAAACAATCATGTGGATGGTATTTCATCACAAGTGTGGTGGCAAAAGACCAGTGCTGGGGTGTTGAGGGTGTCCTTGTGCAGCTGCGAAAGGGAGGGCATTCCAGACGTGCACTCCAGAAAGGATCTGTGGGAAGCGCAGAGGGGAGGCCAGGCTCGGGCCACAGTGACCATGTGGGTCTCATGTCTCTCCAGGCTTCTGATAAGCTGGGACCCACCCAGATTGTGAAGATTGTTACCAGGAAGCTCCCCCAGCTCTCTCTGAGCCAGGATGACGCCAAGTTGGCCCAACGGATCTTGCTGGAAGTGTTCGCCACCAATAAAGATGTCCGGCCCTTCTTCACTCTGGGCATTGTGAGTTCAATTATCTGTGACATGGGGACTTCCCATTCACTGCTCTTGTAACCCACCAGCAGGAGAAGAGGGAGATCTGAACCAAGAGCCAGGAGTTTGGGAGCCCAACTTTGACCCCATGACTTTATTGGTCAGGGAATCTTTGGGCAGAAACTCAACTCACATGCACAGAAGGAATTGCATTCACTCATATAACTGAAAAGCCAAGAGGGTATTGGCTTCAGGAATAGCTGGATCAAGGTGTTCAAATGATGTCATCTTCTTTCTTCTTTCTCCCCTCTGGCGACTTTGTCTTCTCCATGCTGTCTTCATCCTTGGGCAAGCCATTCCCTCATGGAAGGACCAAGCTGCATCAGGCTTATCTCCTACCAACTTCATCCCATAGGAGGGGCTTCTGTCCTAATCGCTCCAGCAGTCTCAGGGCTGCCTCTCATTGGACGAGTTTGGGTCATGTGACCATTCCTGAGCCAATCTGTGTGGCCAAACACACAGATTGAGCTGGGACAAACACAGGAGTGGGGATTGGGAGTTGGCTGCATCATAACCACGAACAACTGAGGGGGTGGTCAGAGCTTCCATTTTCGGGACCACTGTGTGAAGGGATGGGCATGGGGGTCTTTGAAGGACAAGCCTACTAGGAGGACCCTGAGCAGGATCCCTGGAAGCAGAGCCTGAGATGAAGATTCTCTTAAAGGTGACTAATCAGGGGACAGTTCTCAGGGCACGGAAGTCTCTGTCAAATACATGGTCTCAGCTGGAGGCTCACCCTCACCTTACCCCACAGGGAGCCCCAGAGCATTCACTGCACAACATTGAGAGCAGAAGGGCAACCTTTTGTACTCCTTCAACCATCAGCCATCGCCCCACCAAGAGCCCCCAGGGGTCGGGAAAACAACACCCACCCCCACCCCCACCCCACCCCCACCCCACCCCCCACCCCCCACCCCCGCCATCAAGTTCACTCCATTCAAGCAAGGGATGTTCCCCAGACAAGGGGCAGCCGTGAACTGTTAGTGACAACACACAGCATCGGGGAGGCGGATGCCCCACCTGCACAGGGACCCGAGCAGGGCAGCCATGTGTCTGCTACAGAGGGCAAAGAAGGTTCGAGATGAGACGGACTTATGGGTGGGCGCTGGGTGCTTAAGGCCGTCGGGCGCTACCTAGCTCTTAGTGCCAGGCTCAGATTGCTGTGTGCATAAGTGGAGTCTCCGTGTACAGCCGTGCAGCTTTTCTGGCACACAATTTTCGGGGTGCCTTCCAGAATGACAGGTGAAATGGTGCCTCCTGGAGGTGTTCAGAATGCTCTGGCCTCCTGTGGTGAAGGGCATTCTGTCCCCAACCAGCAGTGGGAGCTGACTGCACTCCCAGGTGACCCCTCCATGGCCAATGAGGGACACTGCAGGACAAGTTGTTCCCTGGGTACAACTGCCTAGAGCTGGAGCCTGGTGCACTGCCCTCAGGGTCACCCTGACCCAAAGGTCAGGCCAATGCATGCCTTGGGCCTGTGCGGGACCTGGCTTTAGCTCTGACCCTTCTGATAATACCAACAATGGTTACTGTCTAGCAGGGCCTCAGTCCTCTCTGTCCCTGTTTCCTGCCCTGTACACCAGGGAAAGAACAGCAGCAGCCCACAGGGCTGGAAGGATCAAAGGGTGTGATCACATCAAGTTTTAAAGTGCCACTCGACACACAGCAAGGGCCGCGTCCAGCACACCTGTAATGCCATCTGCTAAGCAGGGAATGGGCACGAGGACCATTCCTCTGAATAATGCTGAAAGTCAGGCCCAGAGAGGTCAAATCTTTTCCCAAGGTCACAGAGCCCAGGGACGGGACTCAGAGCAGGTGACCCTGAATCCAGAGCCTTCTTGCATTACCTGAGCCCCACACCTGGCTTCTCTTATTGCAGGAAGCCAACTTAGCAGCTCAGTTTTACGCTGAAGGGGACTGGCTTGTACTCAACTTTAATGACATCAGGTAACGTGTGAACCATTGTGAAGATTCCGCTGACAATAATAAGTGCTGCCCTGTGACTAGGGTGTCCTTAAACACCTAGTGGGTGGACATCAGGTGAGGGCTGCTCCAGGGAAGGCAGAAGGCTGCCTTGCCTGGACTCCTCTGCTGGTGAGGACTGAATTCAAGAGACAGGGAAGGACAGTGAAGGGACCTTACACCTCCTCAGGAAAGGCCACCCCTGGCCATGGGAACGGCCTACCCAGCACCACTCCATGGCCTCAGGAGGCCCATTCTGGACAGTCCCAAGACAGTGGCAGTGACAGTGGCAGTTGGCCCCAGGCACTGAGTCTAGCACAGAAACACCTTCTGCCTCCCTGCAGAGTCTCTCCACCCCAACCCCTGCCCCAGAGCAACTTCAGGGCTTGCAAGCTAGAGCCTCCAGGAATAGAATCAGGCTCAAAGGTGTTTTGATTAGGGTTGAATTTTAATGTAGGTTAAATATAGAAATCAGACTACCTGATTGCCCTGGGCTGACACTCTTACATAGCAACAAATGGTTGAGCTGGGAATCAAACCCCCTCCCATTTAGAAGGAGTTTGGCTTGGCTGGGCACAGTGACTCATTGCTGTAATCCCAGCTACTTGGGAGGCAGACATTGGGAGGATTGAAATTTAAGAACAGACTGGGAGAAAAAAAAAATTAGTGAGACACCATCTCAGCAAACAAGTCAGGCATGGTAGGATACATCTGTATTCCCAGCTACACAGAAGGCATAGGTAGGAGGATCACAGTCCCAGGCTGTCTGAGGCAAAAAGCAGAAGACCCTCCTGAAAAATAACCTGTATTGAAAAAGGGCTAAAGGCAGAGCTCAAGTGGTAGAGTGCCTGCCTAGCAAGTGCAAGGCCCCAAGTTCAAACCCCAGTACTGCCAAAACAAAACTGGAAGGCGGGGTGGGGAGGAGGGTTGGCAGAGGAGGGAGGAGGCTTGGCTCCCTTGTAATCCACCAGTCCTCACTCCTGGGTGATTTTGCCACCCCCGTTAGACATGCTCTGTGAGGCACGGCCTCACTTTGGTTCACAGCTACATCATGAGGGCCTGCACTGTGCCTGGGTGCTGAGCGGGAGCTCAGCCAAGTGCTGGCTCTCCAAGTGGCCTTTGTGTTACAGCTTCGATCGGATCCGCCTCATGATCTCGGACATCGGCCTGTTCAATGTAAGTACTCACGAGGGCAGGGGGTCGCAACGGCCCGTTCTGAAAAGACACTGCCCAGGATTTGCTCCCCGTGAGAGCCCCGTGGGCAGCTTCAGGAGGACTGGCTGCCTCCACATCAGCCACAAAGTCCAGCCTCCTGACTGGGGTATTTACTGAGCACCGCTGTGTGCAGACGCAGCTGAGAGCACACGTGGCACACAATCCAGACTTTCTGTCAGCAAAGCTTTGATTCTGTACTAGAAACCAAAGCCCCTGAACTCATGAAGTCTTGCCTCAATGTCTCTGGTCAGCCTTCACCCTCTGGTCCTCCGTTTCCCCAGTCACCAGACGGAACTAGGGGTCAAAACGGGCTGGGTTCTCTCTTTAGCCATGTTCTCTTTGATCTTTACGGGTTTTCTTTTTCTTTTTTTTTTTTTAAGCAATATTTTAAAATATTTTAAGCAGTATTTTCTAAGTGGAAATCAGGACCTCTGACCTCCGTTGAGAAGTCAGAAGTCCAGGCAGCGCAGGGCAGCTCCCTCCCCTCCCAGACCCCTGAGGATGGGGTGTCCCCTGTGGGCCAGCTGCGTTCCTGACTCTCCCCAGTCTGTCTGTTCCCAGGACCCCTTGCAGCTCTGAGCTGCGGGGGGCCTGGGATTCCAGCACCTCTCTCAACTATCCTCCCCATGAGGATGAGCTAGGCTGCCTGGAATAGTCCAGAGGACCTGGCCACTCAGCCAGGGTGACAGTCCCCATCTCTCCAACAGCCTGAAGTCCTGACCAGCATCCTCACAAAGATCCTCTACTCTTCCCTGCTGCCAAATGAGAATGGTGCGTCACTCTGCCATCTTCCCCCCCCCACCGCAGCTTTGCTCTGCCCCTTCTGCTTCATTTGGGGACCTCTTATTTTCCACCTGTCCTCCAGAGCCCAGTTCAAATTCCACCACTCCAGGGCACCTTCCTGGTCACCCAGTGGGAATGTCCTCTTCCATCTCCCGTCCTCCCAGCCCAGTTCCTTCAATAACAGCAGCACCAGGGAGGACAAAGTTAAGCTTGTGAACCCCAGCGTTACAGGACTGGCCACAGGAAGGGGACAGAAGTGCAGAGAGCTAGAACACACTTGAGGAGCCTCAGACAGATCTGGGTTCAAGTCCTGGTCCCCTTCTGGCTGGCTGCCTGGCCTTGGACAAGCACCCTAATCCTCTTGAGCCTCAGTTTCTCCATCTGTGAAATGGAGAAATAAGTACCTTCCTCAAAGATGCAACTGAGGCAATGTGTGTTAAAGGGGTGGGGAAAGCAGGTAACCTCTTCCAGCATCACCTTTTCAATTTCATCTGACTAGAGTGGGAAATCTTGAAGTATAGAAACTCGCTGCGGGTCACTGGGAGCCAGTGATGTTTCCTGAGCAAGAGGGTGAGAGGATGTGAGAGGTCCATTGTGAGACAGTCACAGCAAATGAGATGAGGCTGAGTGGATGCTGGGCAGAAAATAGGCAAGCAGAGCCAGAAGGGACAGTCCAAATCAGGTGTGCCAGGCCCTGGGCTCCCCTCCAGGAGCTGTGAGCCTGCCCACCCCTGCCCAAGCCCACCCTGGGCCCACCAGTCTTGGCCATGTTTGTTTTTTCAGGCAAATTAAGACCTGGGATCCCAATATCGATATCGAAGAACTTGGGATACAAGACAGCTTTGTGGTCTGTGACCCAGGTAAGTGGTGTGGCTGGGAGGCAGGGCATACACACCAATCCCAGCCCTGCCGGGCATTGTGGGTAACACGGCCAAGTCCCTAAGTCCCTTCCTTTTCAAGGCCTCACCTCCTCCTCACTGCCATGTGAGGGACCCAGACACCCTTCCCACCCCACTTGGCATTGTTCATGCATTCACTTGCTCGTTCACTCAGTAAATCTTTTCTGAAGGCCTACTGTGTGCCCGGCATGACTCTGAGAGCTTGAGGCCACAGAAGTGAAGCCTCCCCACCCCCTTTGGCAGAGCCTACATCCTAGCAGGAGAGGCAGATACATAAGCACATAATCTGTAGCATCAAGTAGATCCAGGCCGAGAATAAAAATGAAGCAGATAAGACAGAGTGATGGCCGAGAAGGGCTGTTGTTTTACGCAGGTGACATTTGGGTGACTCCTGAGGAGGCGGGATTGTGAACCCTGTGGGCAGCCAGGGGAAGTGTCATGTCAGAAGGGACAGCAGAAGCAAAGGCCCTGAGGCAGGGATGTTTAATGTTCCAGAAAAGATGATGACGGAGCCAGGATCTGAGGCAGTATCCAAGGCACGTAGACCTTAAGCTTCACACAGACACTTATGTGGCCAAGTGGCCTCAGAGCAGCAAAGCCCAGAGTCCTATCCATCTTGTTCATATCACTGTACGCAGAGCTTGAACAAGGCCTGGCACACACTAGGCATTCAATACATGCTTGTTAAGAAAAATGACTCTGTAGCATCAGCTGGGGGGGGAGGGCAACAATAGCATCATGTCACCCTCACTCAGTGACAGCAAGTCCTTTTCAAAGCCATATACCCAGTAGGTGGCAGATGGGATTTGCACTTGGCACCAGCCACAACTTCCACATGAGCCAATGTCAGCAAGGTGCCATGTCAGTCAGCTGGCCAGCAAGCATCTACTGTGTGAGGGCACTGGTCACAACAGTGACAAAACAGAAATAAGTGGCTTCTTAGAGTCTCAATTCCACTCTAGAGGACAGAGATGTTGGAAACAGAATTATTATCAACAAAGAACACCCGCGGTCAGGTGCCAGTGGCTCATACCTATAATCCTAGCTACTTGGGAAGCTGAAATCGGGAGGATCATGGTTCGAGGCCAGCCCAGGCAAATAGTTCTTGAGACCCCCATCTCCAAAATAACCCGAGCAAAATGGACTATAGGTGTGACTCAAGATGTAGAGCACCTGCTTTGCAAGCACAAAGTCCCACCAAAAAAAAAAAAAGAAAGAAAGAAAAGAAAACCCACAGATAACTTGCCCACCACCCTTCTGTGACAAGTGTCCAGCCTGACACCACAGAGGCACTTCAGGCCAAACCCTTGCTCTTATTAGTCCTGATTTGCCCAACCACTGCATTCCTGACCCTTTTCATTCTGGAGAAGCTCGGATTTAAATTCACTTTTTTTTTTTTTTAATGTGGAACGCTTCACGAATTTGCATGTCATCCTTGCGCAGGGGCCGCGCTAATCTTCTCTGTATCGTTCCAATTTTAGTATACGTGCTGCAGAAGCGAGCACTTAAATTCACTTTTTGCATATATTCCCAAATTTCTGGGCTTGCTCTACCTGTTTTCAGCTAGCAACACAGTGATTTCCTTGGTATCACTTTAAAAAACTTGTGTTTAAAATCCAGTAGGAGAAAAGAATAAAGGAACAAACATGAGCTAGAGCCAGTCCAAGTAAGAGAACGCTTGGTGAGAGGTCAGGTGACAGTGGCAAGTGCTCACTATATACTTCTTTGCTGGCTGTTTGACAATGCTCAGAATAAAATCTTGGTGGGGCTTGCTAGGACAAGTTCCCCACATTGCACTTAGTGAGTCTTGTTAAAATCTCAGCTTCCTGGGTTCCCACGGTGACAGCCAGAAAGCTGCCTTTTATAAAACTTCTTGGAGCATGGTGGCTGGCTGGGTTTGGGAACAGCAGTTCTACACAATCTGCCCACTGCAGCAGATGCCTCACCTGTGCCACAGGCCACCATGAGACATGGCTGTTCACACACAGCCCCTCTACCCTGATGAGTGAGTTCGGGAGTTCAGGGTCATGACCCCCCCTCCCTTGTAAAGGACAAAATCATCACACTCCACAATAACAGCCCTCTGGCTCTCCTCCTTCAATTCCAGGGCGCCCTCGTGCTCACCCCAGCCTCCGCCTAGAACCCTGGCTCTTCTCTCTCCCAGTGATGACATGGAGGTGGCTGTCCCCGGCAGGTGGGGTCTCAGCTGGGAGTGTGGGAACCAGCTCTGTGGGTCATCTCTCCCTGAATTAATAAACACATGCTTGTGGCTCTGCAGCCTGGAGTGTGGCTTTGTCCCAGTATAGGAGTCACTCTGCCATTAGCAGACTTGGGGACTGTACGCTAAGCCATGTTGAGGCACTCTGCACCAATCCGGGCAATGTCGGGGCTGTGTGGGGCTGTATTAGACCTGGGTGGCCTTGATGTCTCCCTGGGCCACAAGATGAAGAAAGCCAGTGCCTGTCTCCATGTCAGCTTCACAACCATCTACAGTGATCTATGGTGGGATGGCCTTGGGTGGGGGGCACACATTTTGTTGATCTCTGAGCCACCTGGCTCTGGAGGCAGGTGAACTAGACTTTGAGCTCCAGCCTGGCCCCTAATGCCTCTTTGATCCTGGGATGCAGCTTTCCCTCTGTGGGCCCCAGTTTCCTTCTCTGTAAGAAGGGAAGAATCACAGGTCCCACCTTGGATGGCTGTGGTGAGGATTAAATGAGAGAGTAGATCCAGGCACAGTGATGTCATGGGTGGTATCATGTCACTTGTCATCTGGCCTCAGGGGTGTTGGGCCTTCTCATTCAGACAGCACATGTGTCCCTGGCCTCTCTGAGGTCAGGAGGTAGCTGGTCAGGTACCAGGAGGTAGGGAACAGACAACATGGCCTTGTTCTCCAGACCTAGGGTCGGCCACCTAAAGCCTCAGTCCTGCAGGGCCCTCTAGGAAGAGAGAGGAAGGTGTTTGGGGACAGCCACCATTCAGTTTCAGAACACAATAGCAAGGGAGGTAGCCAGGGAAAGAGCATCTCCAATCTACAAGGAGAAGGGCCAGGCCAGGGAGGATCAGGACTGGACCCTTCATGGGGTGTTTGCATCGAGTCAGCCACGCCAAGGGCTGGGCCAGTGCCCAAGCCCCGGTGTCCCCCCATCTCCAGCTCTGTGGTCTGAGGACAGGGTCAGAATTGGCTTCCCACACTTCTCATCTATTACTTTTCTGGATCTTATGAAACTTGGGTTTGAACTCCCACTCAATCTCCATCTTGTCTGGGGCGGGGCCTCTTTGGGCTCCTCAGTCTCGTACTATTGCGGGGCATTACGAGCTGAGATGGGAGACGCTGAGGCAGATTAGCAGGAAGCAACGTTTATTGTGCCAGCACAGACCCAGCGGACTCATGTCCAAAGGCTGAGCCCCGAGAACAAAGGGGTCTCACCTTATATACCCTTGCAAGCAGGTTACAGAAGCAAAAAGCAAAGCTCAACCCACATATGGATGCATGTGACTTAATTGGCTATTTAATTTCCCCAGTGCTATGTGACCTTCATGTTTCAATTCTTTAAGTTTTATCTTTCTGCTTCGCCATCCCCTCCCACTGCCTCATCATCAGAACACGGTCTGTCTGTTTCTTTTCTGCCCCCCACCTCAGCTTTCCTGCTACATTATTCCCCCCTTTGATGCTCGGACCCAACCAGGGTCAAAGAGCATCATCGTGATCTAGGGGTTTGTGTTTCCATAGCATCATTACATGCACGGCCGTTTTCCTTTCTATAATGGCCTCCATTATAGTCTTGATAGACCATAGCACCAGGGGACCAGGCAGGGCAGTATTAAGCATGCTGTCAGGATTGGGCCCATTGTCCCTATCAGAGTTTTGAATCCACCTAAGGCAGAAAACCACCCTCCAAACAGGTCATTGGGATCCCATCCTTTCCAAGTCTGGACGGGGACATGGGTGAGCTTTCTCATTCTGCCTGTGATCTCTTTTATGACCTTTCCTTCATCACCAATCTGTAAGCAGCAGTTGTTCAGGTTAAATTTTCCACAAAATCCTCCCTCAGAAGCCAGCAAATAGTCTAAAGCCAAGTGGTCCTGATAGATGGCATTGTGCATTTTTGTGTTTTGTTTTGCCAGCAAATTGAGGGTTCTTGCAGTTTCAACAACAGCCTGCAGCCGGATGATGTGGTTGAGCATTTATACAGGGGTGCGAGAGCCCCAGGACCCGTCTTCTGCCCAGGAGGCAGATGATTTGTTCATCCTTCCAATTGCCAATTTGTAAGGCACCCTGTTTTGTCTATTTAATTTTTCTTTATATATGGGGACTCCCAGATTTTTACCTTGTCTGAGGGGAAGCAGGAAAAGGGATGATCTGATTGAACCTAGCACATAAGACCCAGACCAGCTACTAGGTAGCACTGTATAAGCTTGCTTCCCACAGATCCAGTATATTCCTCTGGGTGCTTGCCAATCTATGTTTGAGGTAAGATTGTGCCAAGCTTTCCTGAAATTAGAGAAACTGGCCAGTGGGTGGGGCTGGGGTTTTGTATGGTTAGGCGCTCCCCATAATTGAGTCTCTTGGGCAGTGTAATTGTAAAACTTTTGTCCTAAACAAGTTAAATCCCCCACTGAGGTGGAGAATTGGCCTTCTGGGCGGGAGACTCAATAATTTCCAATGATGGACGTTTTTAGGAGCCAGATGCCTTTCCTGTGTTTTGGGACAGCAGTCCCATTAAAAGGCTCCCGTGGGTCCAAATCCTTTGTTTCCCAAGGCCAGTGGTCCCCCATGTTGGTCCCCCCACAAGCATAACATGAAGTGACATTCAGTGTCTGGGCTATAGACTCAGCCAGTGAGAGGAACCAGTTTTTAGCTTTAGCAGAGATGGAAAATTCACTCCTCATCTCCTCATAAAAGGAGTGAAAAAATGTGGAAGGAGGAACTCCCATGGGTAACAGTTACTACTTTGAGGTGC